AACGAATATGAATTTTAAAGGTGCAGAAGTGAAGAAAGGAGTTAACACATTTCTAAAAGCCAAACGCATGCACTTACGAAATTATTACGATGTATACCTTAAGTTGAGCCATGTGATGATAAGAACCGAGGAAATCAAAAGAATAGAATAACGTTGAGCTGAAAACATGCCTGTCTGCAAATAAGCAGCTGCGCTACCTACCTGCTTAAGAAAGCAAGACATGGTGAAGCGAGCTATAGTTAGAGGCGGGGAAGTGTATATCATTTCAAGCATAGTGATGATCAGAGCCAACGGTGTAACAGAAATGACTGCATTATATTAAAAGCAGAGTATATCAGTAACTTTAAGAGAGGAAGAGATATGCTAGAAGCACTCCGCGTAGCGTACTACTTCAAAATCCAAAGGAGGATATAAATTACAGCGAAGACAACTGGAATATATAAAATTTAAACCTGTCAAAATTGTAACGTGAACAAAATTCTACAGAATCTCGTGTACGTGCCCTCACTGAATGTCTGTGTCGTATAAAAATAGTAGTTACATAAACACGAGTTCTCAAGTATAGTAGGAGCTCTGTGGAGTTTTCGGGATTCACATATCCAAAGTTATTTTAGTTATGCAGTCTTATGTTTTATAAATGCAATGCTTCCTCCAAAACACCGCTACACACACATTCAACATGTTTATGTTTCTTCCGATGTGTGTATAGTCCATTATACTGCACACAGAGAACGGAAGCTGGATTTCCAACAGTTGCGGACTTGACAACCATATATGTACAAATACATAGAAAATTGAAACCTTAACATGATGTTAGTAGAAACGGAGAGATGTATGCATCACCCGAAAAACTCACCGTGAGAGGAATCAAAGCAACGGAGTATATTGGTAACTTGATCGCCCTCCATGTCAAGGTTGCTTTAGAAATATCCGCTTCCTTATCCTCTTCTTGGTGGATGGTGGTGTTAGAATAGTAGTCTGACTTATTGTTGACAAAAGCCTGTCCACAATGTTGCCACTGCCGCCTGACCTCTACCTCTCTTCTAGGGAAAACTTTTTGAGGATTACAGGAGAAACAAGACAACGTTTCGAAGCGTCGATAAGGTCTGAGATATGAAAAATGTCAGTACAATTATACAGAGATTCTCGGGAAGTTTCATCTATTTAATTTTTTTCTTTCTTTGATCCGATGATTTGATTTTATTCTAGCGATATTTGATCTAATCTAAAACAAAGAGGAAAATGATTCGGTCACAACTTAGCAATGGAAAATAAGGCCGAGAACTCGCCTTTTGGAGACACGGTAGTCATTCAGTTTTGTGAGACCAGACCCCGTGGGAAGATAACAGAATGTTGTTGCCATGAACCTATCCAAGAGAGATGCTTAGGGTTTAGGGGTAAGCCAGCAGTAGTGAACAAACTAATTAAGTCATCAGATTAGTGTTAATTTACAAATACACATCCAAGAACCAACCAACCTGATCATACAAAGACACTAATCAAAGAAAGCCAGTTGAATGATTGAAGCTTTTTCACTTGCGTACGCGTAGCAATACAGCTGAAGTGGAAGATCATTCACCCATTTACAATGAAAAAATGCAGTCAAATGTTTTCTAAGCAAATAGTTTACAACAAATATAGCAGAAAAATCTCCGAAAGTCAGAAGAAAAACCAAAAAAGAGAGACCGACCTCTCTAATCTGCCGGTTGCGGTTGCGGTTGCGGTGGGAGTTAAGGCTTCCGCAACTTCATTTATCATCTGAGAATTGATCGAGTCCTTTTCTGGTCAAGGAGAGTGAGTTCAGAGTCTTGAGGTTTTAGACTCGCCAACAAAATCTAGCATGCATGAGATAAGATAACGTTAGTCTGATTCTGTTTGTCCCATTGCCACGTCTAATTTCTCTTTTTGACCACTACTTTCAAATCCCTGAAGTTTTAGGCAATTGTCAAGTTGGTCCTAAACTTTTCAATATTTTCCAATTTTTTACATCAACTCCAATAAACACTTGCATGTAAATCCCTAGTCAACAATGAGAGATTTTTCCATGTACATGTAACACAAGTCGCTATACCACGTGATTCTTTCATGTACACGGAATACAAACCGTTATACCACGTGTCATAGTAAAATGAAGGAGAGAATATTTTTCAATGCTCCCTTACTTGTACTATTATGACAAACTGTGTACCGACTTGTGTTATGAGCACACTGAAAAATCTCTAGCCAAGAAGGCTATGAAATCTAGTTTATTTGTACTCATTACCCACGAACCAAGATGCAGTAGCATCCCTATACTTATCGTTATTATTTTTCCGTAGATCTGACAAAATTGCTTGTGGAGCAAAAAATAATCAAGAAAATTATAGATGTGACACGTCGACTTTTGGGTAAAATGTACAAAAATTCCCCTCGAATCACACCAGGATTCCCACGCGCATGCAACGGACAATAACGGCTCAATCATGGAAAAGCCAAAGGTGATTAAAATGGTAATTATTTAAATCCCTCTCATCACTCCTCATCAAATCCTTATTCGAAAGGTAACTCCTAAATCTCCTATTTAATTTAGGATTAATTGTCATGTTAATTGCAAGATATTATTTCACATAATATCTTACAATTATTTACCCAATCACACCATATATGGCCGACCACTACTCTTCAAATAGGGCCGGTCACTCTCCTATATATAGCCTTATTATCCCGCTAAAAAGCTAAGCCATTTCTTACCCACAAACTTCTAAACACATTCTTTTTAGAATTCTAACTTTGGCATCAAAGATTCTCGGCCAAAGCCCCTCATTCATCGTGGGCGCATGAGGCTTTTGGCCTTAATATTAGGTGTTATTATTTTGCAGGTGCATTTTCGTCAAAGGAGAAGATGGCAGAAATTTGCATCCACAAATTGGTGCTTTCATTGAGAGTCTTCTTTCACACGCTCGAAGAAGACTCTCGCATTCAAAGTTTCTCATTTCTCGTTCATTCGTAGATTTTTCGTACGTTCTTATTTCTAGATTTTATTTATTTATTATTTTATAAAGTTCTTTGAATAAACGTAAAAGAAAAGTATAATGACTAGAAATTCGGAAACCACAACGAACGAAAACTTCCTACGTTCAAGGATTTGGACCAAGCGAGGAGATCAAGGCATAGTCCCACCACGACCATCCACAAGGCTCAACGCGACGACGAGTGGAGCGGCACCATCCCCACGGGGCACCATCATGGCTATGCCAACGGCAGCAACCACTGTGGTAGCTTACAATGAGACCTAAGCTCACGGTGAAGGCATCACCTTGCAGCCGCAAGCCTAAGTCCATGCCACATTGCAGCAGCTAGCCTAAGCCCACCCCACAAGGGAGACCAGCACGGCTCATCACAAGCAGGCCCAATCTGCAGCAGTAACTGCCAAGGCAGCGGCCCAAGACCCGCAGGCCCAAGCCGCGCCAAGGGGAGCCCAGCGCCTACGCACTCTAGCAGCCCAGCCCACGCCTACAGTCTAACCCATGCCGGTGACCCGACCTAGGTCTAGCCTATTCTCGTGGCCCTTTTAGCAACCCAAACTGGTCTAAGATCGGTTCAACTGTCCCGACTTCAGATTTATAGATTGATGATTGAACATAGGTATTTTCACCTTATTTCCCTACAAATTTGACATATCTCAACTCAAATCTCGCATCTGGAGTCCATTACACTTACCCTACTCAAAGAGATGCATACCGTCCAAGCTCTCCCAACCCAAAGGGCAAACAATACTTGTCTCGACAAGTCATAGAGTTGATAAGCTCCCTCGCGCAACAGACGATCTTAGTGAATCAGCTCTTGTAGCATGCCTCAGACGAGGTGTCCCGAAGTAGGACAAGGGCAGCCGACAAACCTCTCTAGCAGCATCACGGAAATCAGCCTCTCGACCAACCACGAACTAAGCATTTGGGCGGTGTACACTCCCAACTAGGCCCCCAAGATAATGTATACTCTCGTCTTAGCACGTAGAGGAGCGTGCACTTTTAGTTAAGCCCACAGACGAGCATACACTCACGGTTGAGGCCATACTCCGATAATCAACATGAGCAACCTTCTAGGCGAAGTGTTCATTCATGACTAGGCCCACGAGAAGCATCTTCTACCTCACATCGGAGTAGGCAACACGATGGACAGAGAGAAGTAGTCACTTAATCCAACTCAAGTTCAACCGGCAGCCTGCAAGAAACTCGCTTGCCTACTAAGAACATACCACATACACCGCAGTAGAGGCATAGACGAGCCAAACACATGAAAAAGCAGCCTAAACCAGCCAGTCACGATCAGGGGCAGCCGAAAGCTCCGCTACCCCAACAAAGGTAAATTCAAGAAAAAGTAGAGAGGCTTCTGACTGAGCGATTGTGTAATTTCCAATGCAACGAGGTCACTGACGAGACACTACAACGGGACATGACCAGCATAAGTATGTCACATTTTACGAACGAGATCGAGTAGGCAGAGCCTCCATGCAAGTTCAACATGCCACATTTCACATTCTTCAAATGAGATGGAGACCTGGAGAGACACTTAAAGCACTATCAAAGCGCAATGATCCTCTATCAAAACTACGACACTCTTATGTGTAAGATATTTGCCATCACTCTATAAGACGAAGCGTAGATTGGTTCCACACCTTACTGCCACAATCCATCCGTAATTTCACCAAAGCATATTCATCATATCGCTCGATCAAGAAGAAGTCCAACCACTTGTTCAACATCAAGAAGAACCCAAAGGAGTCACTCTGTGACTATATGAAGAGGTTCAAAACAGAGAAGGCAAAGATAGTCGGATGCAACGACTCGATAACTAGTGCAGCCTTCCAAAAATGACTCACAACAGACCACTCGCTGTTTGGAGAATTGATCATAAAAGAAGACCTAACTCTGGCAGACTCATTTGCTCTGACAGATAAGCATGCACTTTGGGTCGAGGCTTGTCAAGTAAAAAAGGCACCCGAGCAACCTTGAAAATAATCGACAGTAGTTCAAAAGAAGGAGGACGAGAAGCAGTACAACAACAAAAGCAGGGAGGCTAAGCGCATAGACTGATCCCTAACTAAAGGAGGCTTGACACCCAAGAACTACTCTAAGTTCTCGATCCCGATCCACCAAAACCTTCATGACATCAAGAATGAACCATGGTTCAAGCTATTGAAGAAATCAAAGGAAGATACCTCGAAGTTGGATCACACCAAATACTGCACATTCCATCGAGGTCCTGGTCACATAACTGACGATTGCTGCACTTGGAGGAACTACCTAGAAAAATTGGTGAAAGAAGGCAAGGTCGATAGGTACCTAGATAAGCTAGTTGCATATCCTAGAAGAAACACAGATGCCAACGAAGAGCCGTCGACCAAGACAATCTGGATCAATGGCATTTTCGTCAAATCCGAGCACTTGGAGGCCACCAACAACTCCATGAAGAGGAAGATCCAATAGGCTCTATTAGTCTTTCAGGTCCAGGCAGTCAACCCCCAACCTAGACCCATCGTTGGCTTTATTGAGCAAGATGTCGAAGGTGTTGACTTCCCACACGACGATGCACTAGTGGTATCTGTCCAACTAGCCCACACTATAGGCGACAAAATGATGGTTAACAACGGAAGTGTGGTTAACCTATTTTAGCTCTCAGTAATTTAGAAGATGGGCCTGGAAAGCACAGACACCGAGCGGAGGTACTTACCGGATTCAACGGACACACCTCGACTGCCATTGGTAACATTACACATGACGTGAGAACACCGCCAGTTGTCTCAAAACAGATGTTCACGATAGTAAGCGACCAGTCTCCTTACAATGGGATTCTAGGGTGACCTTGGCTGATAAAGCTAGATGCCGTAACCTTTATCAAGTATCAAAAAATATTATTCCGTATCCTGGGATAAGGAGTCGGAGAAATTAAGTTTGACCAGGCCACATCTCGATAATGCATTGTGTAAGTACTGAATGAGTAAAAAAACAAGACTTTTACACCTGTAGAGGCTGCCAAGGTCCAAAAGGACAATGAAGTTACCAAATAACAATCACAACAAACGAATCAAGAAGATAGTGTCCAAATCAATGCGCTAGCAAACGAAACGGGATGGAAACCTGAAGATGACGTTGAGCACATCATTCTTGATCCCTAGCAGCTGGAGAAGACTACTAGAATCGGCTCACGTTCGATCCCAAAGGAAAATGAAGAACTCATGTCTTCCCTTAGGGAAAATCGTGACATCTTTGCATGGTCACCTTCTGACATGCCTGGCATCAACCCCAAGATAGCTTGCCTCTAGTTGCACGTCGACCCCGCTGCTAAATCGACGATCCAAAAGAGAATACATTTTGCACTCGAATGAGTGGTGATCATTGAAGCAGAAATCAACAAGCCATTGAAAGTCAGATTTATAGAAAAGGTAGCACACTCAGTATAGCTAGCCAACGTTGTGCTAGTAATGAAGAAAAAGATTGGCAAATGGAAGGTTTGTGTGGACTACACCAATCTCAACAAAGCATGCCCAAATGATCCTTATCCAGTTTCTCGAATCGATCTACTAGTAGATTCAACTTCCGGGAACCAGCTGCTCAGTTTCTTGGACGCATACTCTGGCCACAACCAAATAGCCATGCACGAGCCCGACAAAGAGAAAATCACGTTCGTGATCGAGTGAGGCACATACTACTACAAAGTCATACCTTTTGGCCTCAAGAACTCGGGAACAACTTACCAACAACTGGTAAACATGATGTTCAGGAAGCAAATTAGAGTAACCATGAAGGTCTACGTTGACGACATCATGGTGAAGGGCAAGCAGCGATCATACCACATCGGCATCTTGGCGAAAACTTT